ATACGGATATGTCTGTCGGATAAAATTATATACAGCTCCTCAAATCCACCTCCTCAATCTCATATCTTAACGTGATATTTATTAACTATTCTGTTAGTAAAAAATATTAAACTTTAAGTGATATATTACGTAGAAAAAGTAATACTGAAGAATATATAATAACTGAAATATCATTTTATAATCAAATTTTCGAATTTAAATATGTTTTCACAGTTAAAAATGTGGGGTCTATTTAGTATATTATTATCATATCTATTACAAGTGATCTGATACTATATAACTGATTCCCACTAACGAAATCATTTTTTATGATATATCACATACATATGTATTAATTACTCAATATTATTCTACTCTATATTATTATTATTTTTTATATTTTTATATTATATTATTATATTTTTATTATATTATAATTAAATTATATTATTATAGGTATTATTTATAATACATAAATTATATTTACTTTTTTTAAGGTCATTGATTTCAAGCCGTAATTTTTCAATCACCAGTTCATTTTTAATTTTCTGCAACATTTGCTTTTCTTTAGCTTGTAATTGCTCAGCATCATGTTTCTCCTGAGCTCTCCTATCTTCATTTTGGAAGTATTTTTTTTGTTCGTTAATTAACTCTAGCTTCCCTAAAGAGTACTTTTTTACACTTTCCCCTAGCGTAGGTTTTATATTTTTTTTTAATGAAATAGGGGTTAACAACTCAGTACTTTTTGGTTGTGATAGTAGTTCAGGATTCCACTTGGTCCACAAAGGTTGAACTGGTAAATCTTCCACAGGTACTGCAACACTTTGCATATTCATTTCATCGTCCGATCCCTAGTTAAAACGTTCAAAAATAAATAAATAATAACATTGTAAAACAGCTACATTCTCTAAAGGTTGTTCTAAATTAGATGTAAATTATTTTTATTGGTTTACTTATCAAATACTATAACATAAACTAACCATATGCAATTGTATATAATCCATGTTGCTACTCATGTCCAACTCCATTTCACCACCTAAATCTTTGACTACTACAACATTATCCTCACCATCATCAATGTTTCTTATCATTTCAGGATTAATTAATGGTTTCCCTTAAATAAACACCAATTTTATTAGAATATAATTAGTGTACAGAAAACTAGATAATATAACATATTATATAGAATATAGATATTGTAACAAAAAACATATAGAGGTTACCTGGTTTATCTCCGTCAAAAGGATTGTGTAACCCTACAGCTGACACCCCTAAAACTCCAAGCATCATATTATGCGTAGCTGAGGGCTCGACAGAACAACTTGTACTTGCTCCACCTCCTGTTTGGAAGATATTTTTCTTTCTTTCCGACTCAATTTCACTGGTTAAGTATGAAACTTGTATACTCTGAATATCTGATTCTTGATGGTTACTTGTTGAAGGTAGTACATTTTGTGTATTTGTAACTGTATTGGAAGACGAAGAATTACCTGAAAAATCATATATAGATTAGATAGGCATAGAGTATTATCAGTTTTATTATAACAGTAAATATCTTAAATTTGTATACCTTTCTGAAAAGCGATCATGTTTTGTGTACCATACTTTTTGGAGATAGGCGTAATATTCAATGTTGTACTTTTTTCATCTAATAAAAAATACACAACTGGAAATATTATGTGATACTTATGAAATAGTATGTGATAGTTTAAATTAATTATATGATACATATACATACCCTGTTTGTTTAAAGTTGATTTATTTTCAGTGAAAGTATCATCATTTTCAGAATCTAAAAATAAATTGTTTCAATATAAATGTCAGGGTTGTAACAGAGCTCTTATAATATTACTATTACCATAATTAAGTATACTTTTTTTGGAACAATCTTCATGTAATACATAATTTTTGTCAATATCACTATCATCAAACAATGCTAAAAAATAATTAAATGTATAAATTAATATAATATTATATAGTATTAATTAAAATAGTCTTACATTTTTCTGAGCTTTCGTCAGTATCACTTGTCAAGTTATTATTTGTGATGTCTACTACTTTCAGTGAATTATCTTTTTTTACTTTCTTGAAGTCTATGAAAATAAATAAATAGGTATATTGAAGAAATTACACAGCATAATATTATGTCATTAGTTTTAAAATTATAAAAAGGAATGTGATGAAGCACCCAAATTATATTTCATTAAATATAGTACTGTATAATATATTTAGATATTTTAGATTTTTTTGTTCACTATAATGGTGACTAATTGAACATTAAGCTAAATATTAATTTTTTTTTAACTGAAAATAATGATTAATTTTGAGCAAAAGTAGATTATTAACTTTAATCTCCATTATGTGTATACTGTATAGGTATACCAAAAAGTTTGTTTACTTAGTTGTTTAGATGAATTATTGTTCGATGAACTATCAACTTTTCTTTTCTTTTCACTTAAATGGTTATTTGTCTTTGTGTTCTTTACTTCTCCATCTGACAAATCAGAAGTATACATAGCTAGTTTCAGTTTTTTTGCAGCTTCGGCTAATGAACCTTAAATGTTAAATCATACAACAATTAGAATTATATAGGCAATATTTACAATTTTTTTGAGTTTAAAAAGATGAATTAAACAAATAGAATATAAATTTGATTTGTAAGTTTGAAGACCAATGTAAATTTATTATATTAAAAAAATAAAATGAGTTTAAACATTCAAAATTAAGAACAATAAATGAAAAGATATAAATATTTTATAAAAACACTGATTTAATAAAATAAAACAAAATTGCTACAACCCTACTAAAAATGGATATATTATAATCTATTTAGATACATAAAAAGGTTAAATTAAATTACACACTTAGAGGAAATGAATTGTTATGGTAGTTACAATGTACATATTATATAGTTTATTGTTCATATTATAGGACGCCTACAGAATACTTACTAATATTATTAGCCATTACTCGACAGCTGAAATATGAAAAATCAAATTCATTCGGCTTTGCTCTGTTATTTCTTAATTTATCAGCAGTTGAGCCATTGTTTGGCCAAGCACATTTCGATTTGTCTTTATTTAACCAATGTGTTGGAACTGGTTCCACAGAATTGTCGGCGTCAAAATTAACTATTGACCACATGTTTTATGCTGTGAAGCGGTAAGTAGCAGTTTATAATTAAAATTGTTAGTGCAATAACAATTTTTGTAGTGTAATAAAGTGTAAATAACAATATAAAATATAATAATAGGTATTTAAGTAGGTATTAAAACATTTGAGGGTAAGAAATCAAAATAAAAGTCTCTCCTTTAGGTCTTCCCAGAAAAAATTAGTAGGTAGGTACCTATCCATTTAAAAATGTTATGTAAAGCATTAGAGGTATATTAAAATAGGTAATAAAGATTTTCTTGGATAAGATATATACATATTATTAGAGACTAAACTATTGATATAGGAATAAAATTAAAATAAATAACAAATTTTTTTATTTTTTAAATTATAAGTAAAATAAATTATTAAAATGAATAATTGGATAAGCTATCATGCAATTTAAATCATGAGCTTTTAAAATCATGTATTTGGTTATTACATCATCAATATTCCAAACACTAAAGGCCTTGTCAAACAGAGCGCGTTATTCACGTCGCGTTATTATCGTCGCGTTATTAACGCTACCGCTGACGTTACATACGTCAGACAGAAACCAAAGCGTCGCGTTAAAATAGGTAGGTTGATAGTAGTTGATATTATAATTTATAGCAGTGTTGTTAGTACGTTTGCAAGGTATAGACGTATAGTTATAGACGGTATAGTTTACATTCAAATATGTTCAGTAGTTCAGACGAAGAAGAACTTTTACTTTTATATGCAATAGCTGGAAGTCAACAAAAGAGGAAGCGAATTTGGGTTCATGAAATAAATAAAAAAAGAGAAAATTATGGCGAATATCACCGTTTAAGTCGTGAACTGGAGTCACATGAAGACCGTTTTTATTTGTACTTCCGGATGTCCCAGGATAGTTTTGAAGAATTATACCAACTGATTTTACCAAGGATTGAAAAAATAACTACAAACTGGAGGAAACCAATATCCGCAAGAGAAAGACTTGCAATTTGTCTCAGGTATGCAATTAAAAATACATAAAAAATAAAAAAAAATAAACAAATTACATTTTTAATTAACCAAATTATTGTTTATTATAATTTAAATTAATAGCTATAAATTATAAGTGTTGGTAGTTGTATTCATCATAAGTATACCCTTTAGAACAGTTTTCTGATGATGACATTACGTTTTTAAATGCATTTGATTTTGGTTGAAGAAAATCACAGTCGGTTGAATAATTGCTGATTGAAGAACTTGAAGGACAGCGTTCATCTAGTTCTTTTAATTCCATGTCACCGAATAATTTAGCAAGTTCTAGTTTAATCTGTATTTGATTTCTCTCTGAAAACTTTTTGAAGGTTCCTGCATAACTGAGAAATAAGTGGTCGACACTATCATGTGTAGGTTTCTTTTTATTCTCCAGATAACTAATGACTTTGTTTACACCAACATGCTGATCGTTAGGTTCTTTACTATTTGTTTTGATTTTCTTCGGTGCTGGTAATGTAGAATCAGTACGCGAGTGTAATTCTGGATCATCCGGTTCTTCGACATCTAAAAATGATGTTGATGCCTGTGGAGAAGTTATCTGTGAAGGAGATGTTAATTCTTGTGTCTGTATCTCTAATGGAATGTCAGTTGCAATATTGGATGTCGTTTGTCTTGGAGCTAAAGTTTTGTCTAAAAATTGTAACTGACTTGCCCACGGCCAATTTTGATACTTTTTAGAGGCTTGTCCTGTTGTACCTTTTATGTCTTTTTTGTATCGTAAATAATTGTCTCTTAGGCTTTTCCATTTTTTTTTTATAATTTCGTCTGGTAATAAAACAATATAATTTTTAATTATTAAAAATAAATATAAAAAAAAATATTAAAAATATAAATATAAATATAAAAAATAAAATAAAATATAAATATTTTTTTTTTATTTTTTTTTTTTTAAGATTCTGAATGTAGTGATGAATATATTGATTTTACGATAATGAATAGTAAAAATTTGAAAATTTGAAAATTCACGCGTAAAATAATGATTTAATATAAAACGGTGTTAGATATAAAGTAATTTTTTTAGGTATTTGGCCTCAGGTGACTCCTATCAGACTATAGGATTTTCATTTCGTGTCGGACGTACAACTGTAGGCATAATAGTGAAGGAAGTCTGTACAGAAATTTGGAATGTCTTACAACCCACATATATGCCTAAACCTACGGAAGAAACTTGGAGAAACTCCGAGATCGGTTACAAAGAAGTATGGAATTTTCCAAATTGTGTAGGCAGCATCGACGGCAAACACATATCTATAAAGTGTCCTCCTAATAGTGGATCAGATTTCTTTTGCTACAAACAGTTTTTTTCTATTGTACTCCTCGCAATTGTGGATCCATTTTATAAATTTATCATGGTAGATATTGGCAGTTACGGGCGCCACAGTGATAGTGGTATATTTGAAAATTCATTATTTTACAATGAATACATAAAAGGGAAATCTCTGTTACCTCCTAAGGCACTACCTGGTACGACTGAATTAGTTCCACATGTATTAATAGGCGATGAGGGTTTTGGATTGCAAACTTATCTCTTGCGCCCTTTTCCGAGATCGGCAGTCCTTCATGATGAAAGAAAACGAACATTTAATAAAAGGCTATGTAGAGCAAGACGTGTAGTAGAAAATTTGTTTGGTATACTAACACAAAAATGGAGAATTTTTTTAAGACCTATTGAAAGTGACGTACAAACGACCGTACATGTAGTGAAAGCCACATGTTGCTTGCACAATTTTATTAAAATGAAACAAAGTACAACTGTTGTCAACGACATTGAAACCCCACATGACATTCACGGGCTTACTTCAGCAAGACCAACAAATCGCAGATCATCAACTGCTGCATTCGAAGTTCGAGAAAAATTTGTAAATTACTTTAACCAATAAAATGCACATTGTAATAACTATTGTAATAGCTTTATAATAAAATAATTATTATAATTAATACAATTCAATTAATAATTATTATATTGGTAAATAAAACACATTTCATACTCATACATATTATTTTATATTTAACATAATATAATATATAAATTATATATAACATTTTTTACATACCATTCTCATTCAATTCGTTTCCAATATTTTTCCAAGTCTCATCCTTCAAACCAACATTCTTATAATTTTTGCTACTAGTATCATACAGAAACGTATATTTTCTCACCAATTCTATGAGTTGTTCTGTCATATTCATCGACAACGACGGAACGACAGCTATTGCAACAATGAATTGAAATAGTGTATTGGGATACTCTCAGATATTTTATTCTTCAACTTCAAAAATAAAATAAAAGGACGAACACGTCGCACAGACCACTGTCACGATACTACTCGACTCGCCTCTGTAACGCAGTGGTATATATAAGTATACTATTGTTCTAGGATATTCGCGAACTACCGGTACACAGCCGATACGCGCCATTACATGGACACGGGCCTGCCGCATACCTATAGTCACGAACATTCTAGACCACTCTCGTACCCAAATACCTAACAAGTGGTTGTGTTTTATTATATAGTATATAATATTTTATATTTATTTTATAATAGAACTATCAGGGGCCTTGATTGGGATGTTTTGTTGTGTCTGCGGTATGTACTCCTCGCCAAAAATAACGCTGTATCGCGCGTGATTTTGTAATTTTGTACAACGTCGCGTTCTACCGTCGCGTTCTACCGCCGCGTTAATCACGCTGACGAGCCATGTTTGACGGTCGATATGATTTGTAATTGAATACAACGCGGCGGTCTATAACGCGACGTTAAGGCCGGGCGCACATTGAGACGCAGGCGACGCAGCGCAGTGTAGGGCGACGCAGGGTAGGAAAAACTGCGCTACCTAAGTGAGCGCATATTACTATGCAGTTCTGACGTTTCACCGCCTAATATCAGTCACGAGCATGAGCGTGAGCGATAGTATGATGGCCGAAAATTTAATAAATTTAAGTTCTGAATCAGATTCCGATGACGAATTTGATGAACTTATTTTGTTATATTCGTTAACTAAACAAAAAAAAATGTGGAAAAGTAATTTTATGAAAAAAAGACAAAGTCACGGTGAATTCAATTTGTCGTCGGAATTTTCTGACAAACAATTTTTGAACTACTTTCGCCTGAACCGAAAACAATTTAATGAAGTTCTTCATTTAATACGAGATACTATTTATTCATTTGGGTGTAATGCTCAAAAGCCGATTGATCCTGAAGAAAAACTGGCAGTCTTTTTAAGGTAAGTTTTTTATAATTTATTTGAAGTTTTAACAATAAAATAATAATAATTAATAGTTACATTATTACTATACAATAAGGCCTAAGCATTGCAATTTTGTAAATTTTATTTTAACAACAAAGTAAAGAACCCCAAACAAAAACACGATCCTTTAGTTAATTATTTTATGTTATATTAATATGGTAAATCATATTTATTAATAGAAGTAAATTAAAAAAATTATTCTGTACCTATAAGTCAATACCTACTTAATATTATAATATTAGATAACTAGAAATAATAACTTGATGTAATAAAATTAAAAAAAAATTATTCTTTAGTCTTGTAAGTATTTATATAATGAACAATATTATCTTGGTTCTCAACATCTTCAGAAACTGAACTGTCGCGAGAAGTACCTGCACATGAACTTTCTCCGTATGACCACGTAGAAAAAGACTGAGGTTGACTGTAGATATTTTGTTGTATCTGTTGTGAATGAAGTTCTTGAAAAGCATTATTTTGTTGATAATTCAAAATATCAGACTCTACTTGAGAAACAACTTCAAATAATTTATTTTTGATAGTAAGTTGAGACGCTGGTGGCATTTTATAAGTCGTTTGGTAAGCCGCGTACACACTTGTAACATTTTTGCGTATCGTAACGCCGCAACATAAATCTGTAGTGTTATGTGTTACGTGTTACGTGTTACGATATCATTATTTGTGTGAAGGTGTTGCGATGTTGCGATGTTGCTGTGTTGCGTAGTGTTCCATGTTTATTTATTTATTTACTGAGCATACTGCTTGGAGTAAATTTAGTTTACCGTGGTTCTTTGCAATGGTAGTACGTTTTTTGACAATTTGTATTTTGACTTTTTTTTTAACAATGTCTAATTTGCAAATAAGTGCTGCAGCATATATATATATTCATTACGCATTAAAAAAAAAAAGGAAACAAAGAAGATGGTGGCAGACGCAACTTTTTAAAAGCAGAGATGAACATAGTGGAAACGTGTTATTGGCTGATTTAAAATTTCAAGCTATAAGTGGACAATACAAGAATTTTACTCGAATGTCACCAACTGATTTTGAATACTTGATTAATTTAATTGGACCGAAAATCGCCAAACAGGATACATTCATGCGAAAATCAATTACCGTTCAAGAGAGACTGTCTATAACTTTACGCTTTTTGGCAACAGGCGATCACTATAGTAGTTTACAATACCTTTTTAGAGTATCCAAACAAGCAATCAGTCAAATAATTCCAGAAGTCTGTAGAGCTCTAATTGAAGCACTGAAATACAATATACAGGTAATATTAATTAATTTGTATTTATTTGCATCTTATTTTATAATATTGATGTTTTATAACGTCAAAGTAAACTAAAAATGTAAACATTATATAGAATTGATTGATTTTTTGGATTAGGTACTAAATTGTTTCTATTGAAATTTAAAAATAAATAGTTAGAAAATCAAAAATTTAAACTGTGTAGAAATAGCTCAGAATACTCTTCAAATAATAACTTAGTACCTAGCATTGTGTACACAATTATCATATAGTATACCTAAAAAAATGTGATTTTTAACAACTGTTTTTAAATGATTGATTTTTTAGATACCATCCACAGAAGACGGTTGGTTTGATATTGAACGACAGTTTGAAGAAAATTGGAACTTCCCTCATTGCTTAGGCTCATTAGATGGCAAACACATTGTTATTCAAGCACCCATTAATAGCGGCAGTGAATTTTTCAATTATAAAAATTCATTTAGCATTGTGCTTTTTGCTTTAGTCGACGCAAGTTATAATTTTTTGTTCGTCAATATAGGGTGTCAGGGAAGAATTTCCGATGGCGGTGTTTTTAAAAACTCTACTTTGTACAAAAAACTCGAAAATAAACAGCTGCGATTTCCTAAACCAGAACCTTTACCTTATAGACAAAAAGAAATTAGTTTTTTTTTTATTGGGGATGATGCGTTTGCTTTAAACGAAAACCTGATGAAAGTATTTTCGGGAGTTTATCCAAAAGGTTCTCTCCAAAGAATATTTAACTATAGGCTATCGAGAGCAAGAAGGGTTGTAGAGAACGCATTTGGAATCAGCTCATCGATTTTTCGTGTACTTCGAAAACCGATTCTTTTGGAGCCAGAAAATACTCAAGTTATTGTGAAAACAGTTGCACATCTTCATAATTTTTTAAGAAGGAATACAACTTCTTCAAATATTTACTCACCACATGGAAGTATGGACTATTATGTAAACGGCGAGTTGGTATATGGTTCTTGGAGAAATGATGACTATGAAAATAGAACCTCATTACTGGATTTAAGAAACGTTGCTCGTCAATCGCCTTTAGTAGCGAAAGAAATTCGTGAAGAATTAGCTGATTATTTCCTAAATGAAGGACAAGTTTCCTGGCAAAATGACTACAATTAATTTTGATCATTTTATCGGTTTATACATATTATAATTACTAGGTAAAACAGTTTCATTATTTTTTTTTATAACTTCTATTTTGATATATTGTATATTTATTGTACATATAAGTATTATTATTTGGGTGTATGTACTGTTTATTCAAAATAAACTTATAAAAATGTATGTATTATTATACCTGTATGAATGTATCATTAAAATGTGAAAAATTATATAATTATGAAATAATATTAACTTATTTAAAAGTGCGTTACTCAAAGTATAAAAAAACAAATTTAATGTAATATTGAAAAGTTTAAAATGTCTTCGTCGTCAACTTGAGGTGAATGAACTTGTAAAGATTCTGGAGGAGTTGGTGTTGGAGTGGAGTAGTTGGATGACAAATTAGAAACCTGAGACATGTTTGATGTTGTTGAGCGTGAAGGATAATCATAAGTATACGGCAAAGGCTGTTCGTACATTCCATTATCTGCATTCAGAAAGATACCCATGAAAGCATGTTGAATTGCACTTTGTGTTCAAGCAGAGTATTTTTTTAATTTGTTTGCCACAAAATTGCCAAAATTTTGTTGTTCGTCAGAATTTGCAGCAGAAGCTGCAGCAGTTAAAAGTCCAAAAGCTTTATCTAAGCGATGATCTTCTGGATTTTTTCTTTTTTTTGAGGACGGTGGAGTCGGTGTTGAAAGACTCGGTGGAGGAAGTGATGAGCTTGTAGAAGGCGTATTTACATCGATTTCTGTCACTGGGATATTATGTATGTCTGTTTCTTCTTCAATCTGTATCTGTTCAAAATTTAAAATATCGTAATTAAGTATTAATATTATTATAGTAATTATTTTATATTCCGAGCCACAATGTTGTGTGTGTGTGTGTCTGTGACCTGTGTACGCTAGAACTTGTCGAGATAATACTTCGATTTTAAACTTCAGTAGCTTTTCCGGTTTGAAAGTGAATATAGTTTGTGCATTGGGGATGTCATTTTTTGAAATTTCCAATACTTTTCAAAAGCACCGGGAAAAACAAAAAAAAAATTGACAAAAAACGAGAATTTTTACGCAAAATCAAATTTTGAAAAAATTTATTTTAGATATGGGTGTAAATCTAAAACTAAATACCGTAGAAACATGATATTTTCACTGAATGTTGAATGTTTTCTATACGTGATAAAATTTTCAAAAATTTTCAAATCTTTTTAAGTTAATTATGGACATTTAAAATTTTCAATCTTTTTTAGTTTTTTTTTTATAAATGACGACAATAGAATTTTATTCGTTTGGTAAATAAGCTTCAAAATTTGATACAAGACTTCTTTTTAATAAGCATTTAATAACCTAACCTTGAATGAATCTAATTTGAGTAATTTGGAATTTATTTTATAGGTAACTACATTTTTTTTNTTACTCAGAAAAAAATAGTAGTGTGTAGGTAGTTAGTTCATCCCCCTCCCCATACGAAAAAGCTGAGCACGCCACTGCTCACGAGTCTCAGGCCGGGCGCACATTGAGACGCAGGCGACGCAGCGCAGTGTAGGGCGACGCAGGGTAGGAAAAACTGCGCTACCTAAGTGAGCGCATATTACTATGCAGTTCTGACGTTTCACCGCCTAATATCAGTCACGAGCATGAGCGTGAGCGATAGTATGATGGCCGAAAATTTAATAAATTTAAGTTCTGAATCAGATTCCGATGACGAATTTGATGAACTTATTTTGTTATATTCGTTAACTAAACAAAAAAAAATGTGGAAAAGTAATTTTATGAAAAAAAGACAAAGTCACGGTGAATTCAATTTGTCGTCGGAATTTTCTGACAAACAATTTTTGAACTACTTTCGCCTGAACCGAAAACAATTTAATGAAGTTCTTCATTTAATACGAGATACTATTTATTCATTTGGGTGTAATGCTCAAAAGCCGATTGATCCTGAAGAAAAACTGGCAGTCTTTTTAAGGTAAGTTTTTTATAATTTATTTGAAGTTTTAACAATAAAATAATAATAATTAATAGTTACATTATTACTATACAATAAGGCCTAAGCATTGCAATTTTGTAAATTTTATTTTAACAACAAAGTAAAGAACCCCAAACAAAAACACGATCCTTTAGTTAATTATTTTATGTTATATTAATATGGTAAATCATATTTATTAATAGAAGTAAATTAAAAAAATTATTCTGTACCTATAAGTCAATACCTACTTAATATTATAATATTAGATAACTAGAAATAATAACTTGATGTAATAAAATTAAAAAAAAATTATTCTTTAGTCTTGTAAGTATTTATATAATGAACAATATTATCTTGGTTCTCAACATCTTCAGAAACTGAACTGTCGCGAGAAGTACCTGCACATGAACTTTCTCCGTATGACCACGTAGAAAAAGACTGAGGTTGACTGTAGATATTTTGTTGTATCTGTTGTGAATGAAGTTCTTGAAAAGCATTATTTTGTTGATAATTCAAAATATCAGACTCTACTTGAGAAACAACTTCAAATAATTTATTTTTGATAGTAAGTTGAGACGCTGGTGGCATTTTATAAGTCGTTTGGTACATGGACATAAAGAAATGGTAAAGCGGATCATTTGGAGTTTTGAGGTCTACCAATTTTTGGCGTTCAATTGATCTTTCTTTGGCTCGTTGTTCGCGATTCGCTATAGACTGTTGAATCATGGTGCCTATATCATTTTTTTTCATTTTTTTCTGTGGTTCTTTGAAAGTAAATTTCCTACCAGCTGACGAAGGAGTATCTTTTAATTTTTCAACAGAATCTTCTCGTTCCTTGTTGCTGTGCACTTCATTATCTTCTTCCAGTTCATAATTATTCTCCAAGATTGACGTCTGTGGTGTCTCTAAAATTTGACTAACTTCAGTGTCTGCATTGTCGGATTGTTCATCATCACTGTCAACTATATTGGCACTTCGCTTTCTGTTCTCCATGTATGGCAACAAAAACTCCATTTGTTTCTGGAATTTCCACCGTCTAACTGTCTCAGCTCCAGCTCCACTTTTAAACATTTTTTTTTGCCTTCGTAGAGCATCTCTGTGGCAGTTCCTCAGTTTGGTCCACATGGTTTTCACTGTTTCACCTGTAAAAACAATAAAATACAAGGTAGCGTTTAAACTTCCGAGTTTTGTTTGAACTTGCATTTTCTTTACACGATATAATTTTAAAAATATTTAGCAACTTTTTAAACTATTTATAGTCATTTGAAATATTCGATTTTCTTACTTTTAGATTCTGAGCGGAGCGACTGACCGACCGTTTTCACTCAGAATCGTTATTTTTATACAATGATTATAATATATCATTGGATTCAAATTTAACACTTGATAATGTATTATTGTACTTGTATTTAACATAGTTAACCAAAATTGTTTAACTGCAAATTTCACATCTCTTTGATTAATAGTAGTAAAATGTAAAAATAATTTTATTAAAAAAACTGTCTTCCCTGTTGGTTACAGGTATTTAGCTTCAGGAGATAGTTACAAAAGTATAGCATATAGTTATAGAATGGGGGATCGAACTGTCTCAAAGATAATAAATGAAGTGGCCACTGCTATATGGAACAACATGCAACCAATATATTTACCCGAACCCACAATGGAAATGTGGAAATTGATCGCGAATGATTTTGAAAAGATATGGCAGTTTCCACACTGCATTGGCGCTCTAGATGGGAAACACATTGTGATTAAAAAACCACCCAAAAGCGGAACTACATTTTATAATTATAAACAAACATTTTCCGTAGTTTTAATGGCAATAGTTGACGCTCACTACAAATTTATTAGTATTGATATAGGTTCTATGGGAAGATTCAGTGATGCAAATATATTTTCGAGTGGTGCGTTAGCAAAAAAACTTAATAAACAAACTTTAAGACTTCCAACACCAGCAGCTTTAACCGATTATGACCAAATATTACCCTATACTTTTGTAGCAGATGAAGCGTTTCCACTAAGTGAAAATATTATGCGACCTTATCCAAATAGAAGTGTAACAAACAATTTTCAAAATAAAGTTTTTAATTATAGACTTTCCCGAGCACGGCAAACTGTTGAATGCACTTTTGGAATCTTGGCATCACGATTCCGAGTGTTTAGAAGACCTTTTGAAACTAAAATTGAAAGTGTTGATAATGTTGTAAAATCAGCTTGTGTATTACACAATTTCTTAAGAAATGAAACAATAATTTTAAATAATATGCAAGGCGATAGTAGTGAAAATGAAATGCCGGAAAATCAATTACTGCCATTAACCAACAACAACACTAGAAGTGGATCAAATGCTTTTTGTGTAAGACAAAAGTACACAGATTATTTTAACACAGTGGGAAGCGTACCGTGGCAATCGGATAGTGTTTCTAGAGGAAAATACTAACTACTTTTATTTGTAAAAATGTTTATATAATATACACTTTATAAAAACTATTTTATTTATTTGTCATTTTTTTTTTATTATTATAATGTTCTACTAGGTATGAATCAATTTTCCACAATATTATAAACTTTACATTTCTATGAAAAATAAATACGTAAATCTTTACTTGTAATTATTACTGTTTATTAAGTTCATTATTATTACCTAATAAATAATAATTTGGTATTCACAAATCAGTTTTAAAATAAATTAAAATCATCATTCACAATCAAAAAAAAAGAAATGTAGTATAGTTATACAGAAATTTGTGACAAATATTGTTGATGTATAATATGATGTATATAGGACATAAGTATGTATAATACTATAATGTATAACCATGCGACGAATGTGAATTTCCTATTTTAAATTGTGTGCGCCTGCTAATCACATTATAATTAAACCAAGATAATGTTTAAAATACCAAATGTTATTATCAAATGTTTAAAATTAGATAAAATCAAATCACATAAGTGAGTTTTTGTAAAATATCTTATCTGTACTTATACAGATATAATATATAAGTTTGTCGATATTTATAGATTTCAATAGTACACCGAACACTTTTCATCGTCAAGACAAATATTCATATTTCATATCTATAATACAATTTATACGTCGAACATTATAGCATGTAAATGCATAAAAAAAATAGCTACGAGATTTCATAAAAATCTTGATATATGAAATTTGTTAAATATTGACTGATTAATATATATCAGTAAATTTGTTTGATTTTAGTGATATGATATTAGTAATGAAAAAATATTAATTATAATAGTAATATAAATATTATTTTAGGTAATCTAAATCAATTGAATACTAGGTAGGTACTTACCATTACTTAATTTAAGTTCACTGGCAATCTTTTCCCATATTTCGTTTTTCAACTTGCCCTTCATATAGTCGGCATGACTAGTGTCAAATAAGACACTGTAATGTCTGACGGCTTCAATTAAAGTTTCTTCCATCGTAATTTTTAAAAAATGATGACTTAATTAACAAGTTTAATTAGTTAAATAAATATCGTAATAGCCAAAGCTCGTGGCACGTGTGCAGTAATATGTGTCGCGAACACTACGTGACGCAGGCTAACATAGGCACAGCACTGCTCTGCCCTGCCCTGCCTCCCAATATGCGCTAATAAGTTCTAACTAATAGATTACAGAAAACTACGCTGCACTGCCATACGCTGCGCTGCGTCACCTGCGTCTCAATGTGCGCCCGGCCTCAAACACAAATAACCGTAGAAGTTTCGATAAAG